GAAAAAATCTACTAGAGATCAAAATAAAGGATTTTGTTTATCTCGCACGGCCCACAAATATGTCATATGCGTATGTTTACTATCGCTCTGGTTGTGAGAATGCTCATCTTCGTCTTGACATACAGAGGAACTCTACGTTCTGAATGTGGTATCATAACTCTCTATCCGAGCTTGTGATTGCCAGTTACCCTAGAAGTGTTCTCAACATAGTGATAATGATATTAAAAAATTTGGTCAGTTAATTCGGACTTCAATGGCAAGACATTCTAAAATAATTCTCGGTGACTTGTCAATGTAAAACAAACACTAACAAAAGATAACTTCCTTTTCTAACTTTCACTACTATACAAAATAATTCTCACTCTTCTGTAGCTATTTAGAAAAATGCTTTGAGCATTAATCCACAGATATTACCAATTATCACAGCTAAAAAATAAAATGTCTATAAATGGTTTAAAAACTATTTGAAAGTTAGTATACAAATTGAATACATACTATTACACAGTACTTCATCAGATGAAGTAGTAGAACTTCACTGGTTGAGATGGTTGGGACATGTGTTGTGTATGCCTAATCACCGACTGCCTCGTCGAGCTATGTTTTGTGGTGTATGAATAGGTTGAAAGGAAGCTAGGGGCGGCTAAAGCAAGACATAGTAGAAATCTATGAAGTCACTGACAAGTGGACTGAATCATGTTGGTAATGATAAAGCAAGTAATATATTTCAGGAACAACCAGAAAAACAGTTAGGTGGCTGTGTAACTGATTCCCATGATGAAGAGCAAAGTTAACTTAAGCACAGGCTGATAAAAAGCCTACGCAATGATCGTGAACAGTGGTGGGTATTGAAAGCAAGAGCGATGGAAAAGACAACGGCAATAGGCAACAGCAGACAACTTTTCCACCTTATAAAGGAAACCGGTATTAGAAATCCATCTGTTTGCGAAACTATCTGAGAAATGGATGACTATCATTCACCCTCAATCTAGTAGATTGTATGGATGGGCGGAACACTACTATTGGATTTGAAGTGACAATTGCGTTTCTGTGCTAATGTGGTAAGGTAACCTGGACTGATGTATGTACTTACTAAGTTCTACGTTGTAACTGACTGACATATTATAACCTGTGACTTAAACAGTTGTCAAGTTATCCTCATTTTCAAGCGTTCTATAACTCAGAGTTTTTACATTATTCGGCCTGTTTGACAAGCGAAAAACTCAGCCTTTTTATCCAATCTATACCTTGAAGTCATGATTTCATTTGTCCATTGATTTCGTATTGACAAATTTCATATAATATACCTTAATATTTAAATTCATTAGGTAATATTGAATATTTCACGTAATAAATACATTTCTATCCTTCATTCGTTATTCCACATATATATGAGAAACATACATAACAGCTGATATGATCATACTGCTAACTATTAAACTATATATTCATCAATTTTGTTATTTTCTACTTTCTCAAGCCTCTAATTAAAAAAAACTCGAACCACGTTTTATCATTCTGACATGTAACTCATGCTTATACTAGGAAACCATCAAACTGCAAGAAAAATCAATCGATAAATCTTAATACATATTATAACTAAGATATTTTTCTACGAATTGATAAGAAACGTTTTCGGTTGAGATGTATACTTTTTTGGTGTTTATTTTAAACTCTCTAAACTAATTTCTTTTTATCTACGAAGCCTTCATTGTTATTCTAGGCAGCATAAAGTTTCACTTCTACGTGAATTAACCGCTAATGTTGTCTAGAAAATTAATGAAAGCTTTGCAACTAAATCGTCTAGTTTAGAGATTTTAACAAAATCAAAATAGTTTCTTATAAGGCTAATCCGTATATTCATAGTTACTGAAGGATTATTTTGAGTTTACTAAAAACTTCATCATCTTTTGATAAGTAAGATTTGTTTGCTTATAATTATAAATGAGCAAAAATAGCATAAAATAAAAGTGTGATAAACACTCATTAAATTATGAAAATGTTCGGTCTGAAGCTTTTCTAGGGTTACTGCCGATCCCAGCACAGATAAGGCCAGGAGGGTTAGGCGTAGGATTAACAACCGTATCCCTTAGAAAACGTTCTGGCTAAAAAGAGCATTAGCCAGAACAAATAATTCAAATCATTTAAAGTCTTCCCTGTCAATTCAAAGGTCGATTCTATGGGAGGCTGCAGTCAATCATCGTAAAATACCCAACAAAAGATTTGATCATTCTGATGGGAGACATAAACACCATTGTTGGAATGAACAACACTGGATATGAAAGGAACGAAAACGGTGGGAGATTCGCGAAATCTATGGCGCCTCCATATGCCACACAATACGCATAGGCGAAACTACACAATGTTATACTGAATCGCCTTACAGAGAATTAAATTAATCTCATTCGCATCAATAAAAAGTTACTGACATGGTGGTCGGGCTTGCTCATCTTGGTCCACAGCCAAACTATTCTTTTAGGTCCTTCATGTTCACCCAGGTCGCTTGTAAAAGCTGCAGCTTAACGTCTGAGGGCAAAGTCATATTATTGACTGTGAAGGGGGTGTGACAAGCAGTAAGTTGTTTACCTCGGTCAACCAGCACCTGCGGACGATGTTGCCCTTTCACTATTGAGTAATGTTCATCAGAGTTTGCCCACTTTCCTTATTTTTACTTGTCAATTGACATCCTTTTAGAGGCGACACTTTTCACCATCCGACTCATCAGGAGTTGACCTTCGATCAGGAGATTCACTTATTGATTTGAAGTATGCACTATAATATAGTTCTCTTGATGAACACGCTGACAATAATACAGTCTTCTGACCACCTTAAGCAACAATGCAAGCTTGCTCGGGATGTGATTACCCCCCCCCCCCTTGAAATGTAAAGGGTTGCTCTTGGTTGGCTTCCGTCGGCACTTGGGGTTCGTGAGATAGAGCAAAGTGACCTGAGTATGTTGACCACTTCACTTATCTTGGGAGTCTCATCAGTGTTGATGGCCTGGTATGTGACAGAATCTCAAAATGGGTGCAGAAGACTCGACTGGCTCTCGCCAACTGGTGTAGGCGAGACATCCATCTGCTAACCAAAGGACGGGTTTATTGCGCAGCAGTTCGCTCCGTCCTACTCTATGGGTATGAAACATGGCCACTTAGAATAAAGGATATTTGTAGGTTACAAGTATTCGATCATAGGTATCTTCGATGTACGTTTGTAACACGTTCTATGTTGCAGCTGACTGACTGACTGAATAATAAATTCTGAAGGACTGTGAAACACGTGAGAATCAAGAGAGGAGCTGACAGCTTCCGATCACTACCTGGTGGTGGCCATGATGAAACTGAAACTAGCGAAGCGCTGAATAGCTGAGCGAACAACATCAAAAAGGTTTGACACAGTATTTCCTTGGGATACTGGCAAACTCACTGTACTCATAATAGCTCTCAGCACCAAGTTCCAGGTCTTTTCTGATCGACTCAATGAAGAGATGGATAGGACACTCATTAAATCTTTGAATCCTCAAGGTCCATAAGGAAAAGAGAATGAGACCAAGAGACACACAATGCGCTGATACTTAGAGACAGACCTGAAGCGAATGAATAGCTATTGCTTAGAACTGGAAAGGTGAGCGAACAGAGTTGGTTGGTGAATGCTGGTTGGCGGCCTGTGCTTCATTGAGAGTAACGCGTCAGTAAGTGAAGCATGTGAATTAAGTTGCCTAAGAATAAATCCATCTATGTTCTATTGTTAAACTGCTTACATTTTTGTCTGATCAACACTCTATTTTTGGTACTATTTCATTTCTTTCATAGGTATCTACGTTTCTATCTTTTCGATTTATTCGCTAATTGGTTTCTTAAAAAGAAGAGATCGAAATCGCATCCATCCAAAACGAATTGTTCCAGATGGAATAGTTGTCAAACCACCGAAAATTCCGCTTCCATCTAAAAGACAAGTGAAGAAATTAGCTCAACTAATAAAACTCGCTGAAAAACCAATTCTACTTATTGGTAGTCAAGCTGTTTTACCTCCAGTTCCTGCCAAAGAGACAGCCGTTCATGTTCAAGTAAATTTATCTAAATCCAGTATTTGTTTATTTTATGTACGAATTATAAACAGCCTATATCAAATGCTGCAATATTCTTATTGTAACTGGCATTTGTGTATCTCAGCTAACAGCAGATTCCTAAGGTTGTGTATCATCTTGTATTTTAATGGCTGGTATATGTATTGTTTTCACATTTTGAAATCGTGAAGAAATCGTTGTTAGACCACCATTAGTAACCTGGAAGCACCGAACGACCGTTTCTTCCTGGTATGGAACTCATTTGCAGTGCGCATCCATAACTCCTACTACTCACAGGATTCGAACCCAAGACCATGTTTTCCGTCAACTAAATGTTCCTCTTATGTTTGGAACTTTAACTATGGTAGGTGCAATGTCCGGTAACATTCAAGAAACACATACTATGACATGAACATGGTCCACTCAGATGTTTGCATCAATCATTAGTTTAGAGTTGGAATACTATGGCATTTAAGTATCTCTTAACATCGATCGATCTTCAGCAAAAAATTAGTAAATTGTATTTTTTTTTGGACTAGTGACTTTTTGATAATTAGTAGGTAGTAGCTAGTAGGATTTTTAATTTTACTTCATGCAATCTGGTCTAGGTAGTCGACTAGCATCACTAGGCCTAGCTATTCGACACATTTCTTATCTTCTCAGTTATGGTTTTCTTCCTGTATCACCTAAAACCGCTTCTTTCGCGGTGTGGGCAACGTGAAAGTGACATCCGCCCTTATACCCGTATCATCAAACGAGACCAAATTAGTAATAACCAAATCCTTCCAACACCTCTTTGTACTACGATGGAGCTAGAATTGACAATTTGATCTCTGTGCTAATGTTGTATGACAACTTGAACTAATGTACGTACGTGCGAAGTTCTATGTTGTAGCTGACTGACTGACTAAACCCGCTTCATCATTGTTTGCACAGTTAATCAGTCAGTCATTTGACTCAAATTTTTCCACCGTGTCTTGGATTAAGTTTGGTTTATTTATTCGACTGAGCGGATCAGTGAAAGAGTTAGTCAGTCGATCGCAACGTATAACCTGGTACGTACGTAGATCAGTTTAAGTTACCATACCACGTCAGCACAGGGAGATAAAACTGTGAGGTTGAAATCCAAAGTATCAGTGGTAATAGAAAAAATTAGGCATCATGAAAGTTGGTCACGAAAATATAACAATTCCAAAACTTCCCTTAAGAAGGCTGTGCACGATCGGCCTCAAGCGCTTGTTCTTTGGGCTCTGCAGTCACTCCCACAGGTCGCTAAGACCAACACTAACGCGTTTTCCTTTTCACATTCCTCAAGAAATACCATTTCCCTGTTTGGGTAGCTGGGTAATATCGTCCGTCCCTAATACTACACGAGATCAACTTGGTCTTAATCAAATCCTTTCTACACCTCTTGATAACTGTCTTGTTTCCATAACCAACCTTTCTCGTATACCTTATGACCTTGCGCTGCTAACCTTAAAAATTCTCCGTCCCCTGAAACCCCGTGTTAAACTGCATACTAGATCTCTAAATGTCCGAAACTTATGCCAAATACAACAAGTTTCCTTCACAAGGACTTTAGAATTTCGTGCCGTCCACGTGTACAGCATCTCCGAAACGCACATGCAGGATCCGAGTAGAGTCATTCATTAGTCTTCATCATGTCAAAATAAACAACCGTTGCAATCTACGCTTCGTGTATCTGAAGGCTCACTGCTACTTTCTATGGCCTCTCTGGTGTAGATATAGCATTAATTTCTAAAGCAGAACTAGCTTTCTTGAACTGGATCTCAGTCAGTAGTCTTTTGTGCACTGTCTAACTAAAAGAGATCAGGAAAAACTCAAAGAAAACATAGACGCGAATTCTCGCCTCTTCGTTGTCTCTGCCTACGCTTACACTGCTGAGGTAAAAGAATAATTTTACGCAAAGATTCCCTTCACAAAGCTAGGCGCTCTGATGTAGTAATACTGGTTGGTAGCATTGATGCTGAAATAGGTAGATTAAAAGAAACTGACGGAGGCCTATGTGGATCTTATGGCGTCGCGGCTATTCGAACAGATGATGGTAACCATCAATTGTTGTTCTGCACAGATAACTTCCTGTTTCTGGCAAATACCAACTTTAAGCATTAAGTTAAACATCTTTACATCCTCAACTTTAGGGCGGCGTTTGACTCTGGTGATCGTGAGGTTCTGTGGCCATATCTATCATTGAAAAGTATACCTAAGAAGTAACAATTAACCTTATGCAGCCTCTCTACTCGAACACTAGTGGTCGAGTCAGAGATTATGGCGAACTGTCTTCGAAATTGATTACTTACAGTGGTGTTCCTCGTGGTTGTCCACCCTCTTCATTCTTATTTAACCTTGTCATTGACAATGCTTTTAGAGACGAGCACGTTCACCATCCGAATCATCAGGAGTTGAACCTTCGATCAGGAGATTCACTTATTGACTTGAAGTATGCATATAATTGTAGTTCTCTTTTGTGAATACGCCTGACAAAATGCAAAGTCTTTCCGACCAACTTAAGCAACAATGCAAGCATGCTCCGGGATGTGATTCTCCCCCTCGAAATAGTAAATTTGTTTCTCTAGGAATGACTTAACCTCGGCACCTGAACTCGTGATAGAGAGTGTAGTTGAGCGTGTTAACTACCCCACTTATCTTAGGAGTCGTCAAAGCCCTTTCAAATACAAACAACTATGTTTTCATAGCTTATATTTACACTGAACGACATTCTATCTTCTCTTATATATGATTGATGCACTTTGTTACTAACTTCATATAGATATATATGAACTTTTGTACGTTTTTCTTCTTATCAAGTCAATTTACGTTATCACTGCATTTCGTGTCATTTTCACTTACAAATCCATCATCAGCACTATGTCTTCATACATTAATTTCTTTTTTTTAGACCGTTGGGATACCGACTTACATGTCAGGTATGGCTCGTGGTTCTTCTTGGTCGAGACCACCAATACTTGCATTTCGTCATTGCCGTCGTACTGCACTTCGTGAAGCTGATCTAATTATTCTAGCCAGGTATTTATTCTGTTTCAACCTTAGTGTCCTAAATGTTAACATTGTTAATTATTGTCCTTATTAATGTATACTTTTTGTATCCGTTATTTTGGCATCATTTATGAAATTGGGTTTGTAATTGCTGTGTATTTATTGTCCATTTCGACTGCTTCGTGTTTTATCATTAAATTAATTTCCTTGGGACAAGAAAGATAGGATCGTTTACGATTGCCCTTCTGACTGGTAGGACAGGGTGATTGGTATGTATATCACGTGCCTGTACCCATATACTACTATCTCAAATTCCAATAGCAAGTGATGATAAACTGTAATTGGGAAATATGACGATGCTTCCTAGCTAAGAGGCTCGGCTTAACATATCCTTTACGCGGCTGAGAGCAATTAATTTTTGTAATAGCGATGATTTGTCTAACTATTTAATTGGTCTATGAATTAAAATTTCTCTAGTATTCCTCAGTCGGTAGTTTGAACAATTCTACAGGAAGTATATATGGTATCGGAATCGGAACACATTAGAATACAGTAGTGAATTAAATTTATTTGCAGTGGTTACTTTTGGAATTGTTCTTATGAGATTCATGTACTTTTGATATCAAAAGGTATATATAAATAGTCCATTATAGATAATAACAACCCAACCTGGAGCCTTTCTGGGCTTTTACTGTGGGTTGGTATATGTGGTTAGCGACCCCATCCCATATAGAAATCCAACTCTCTAAAAAAAAACGCTAACCAGAAAAATATTATTCTCAGGTCGGAGGCCCATGCTTCATTAAGGGTAACAGGCGTAAGTAAGGTAAGCAAATAGAATAACCCTCGAAGTTCCACTTTGTTTCTAATGGATTTGAACAATCAGGGTAATGGCCTCACCAGCCTTCCTACAAAAATGAGTATTAACGCTGATTGCAAAAACTGGTACATTTGTTCAGTTAATTATCTAAACATCTATCCCAATGGTAAGTGATTTCTTTTTTTTTATTTACTCATCGTTTGCCTTTTCTTGTTATTTTTTTATTTCAAAGGTGCCATTTGTGATTTTCGACTAGATTATGGTCGTGTGCTGAATCGAAAAGCCAAAATTGTTGTGATTAATCGGAATAAGAAAAATTTATATCTTGTAAATTTATTGTTCTTATATTTGATCGTTTTTTTTGACGAGAAAATGATTTTTTTTTTGAATATTATGACAGCAATGGTTGCAGTCTGTTTTAGGATTTACTATGTTGGTTATTTTCTGATTTTTCAATTAATTAATAATAAGCTTGAGTTATTCAACAAAAATACCGGTCAAAATTCAATCACAAATGTTGAACAATGAGATAATTTAAACCAGTATACTAATAATGACGTAAATGTCATACCCATCTAACACATTCGTTTGGTTATATGTGAACCCACTTCGGCTTCATAATGAATAATATGTGGAGCGTATGAAACAAATGCGTCATTAAGTTCGACTTCAGTCTGCTGCACACTCCAACACACACTATGAACGGTACATCTAGTTGAATATTGTGTGAAGTAAATCTGGTGATCTTGCAGTCCTGGATTCCACATGATTGAGTAATTGTACTTTAGATCTTCGTTATATAGCTAATCGACATTGTCTGTTATCAGGTAAAACACTATGAAGGAAAATACACTAGTGGTTACTGTCATTATTTCTCCCTGATCCACTACTTTTTTTTACAGAACAACGGACCAGTGAATGCCGTTAGAAAACATACTAATATAGTAACTTTATTAGTTTAAAATATCTGTGTATACAGGGCACAACTGACCTTGAAGGCTTTCCAAGACTTCAAATAAACATCTGTTACAAAGTGTATAGATCTTTTCACATTTACATTTCAAACTCGCAAAATTCTTTCCAATATTTTTAAGCAATGATACTTACTGTTTTAATAAATTTTTAGTACTAACTGTCTTATTGTTTGTATCACATCTGAACTCAGGAATTTATCCTACACCTCTGAAATCACAATTTACTGTCAAAGTTTTGTAAGACAGTGAGTGGTTAAGTGTGGCTAATTAGTTTATATAAGCTGTTAGTTCGTATTCCGATGAATACTCACTTGACTAGATAGAAACTTGTGTGTTTGGCTTCAAGCCAAGGTCTAGTAATGCTATTCAATTGCCTAAACTAAATTACTAGACAGATGGTGTTCGAACTTACAACTTGATGGCGTAAAGTCAAATACATTGACTACTGAATGCTCCTCTACTTCACATTTCAATGCTAATAACTTAACAATGTTTGTAATAAGTTTACTTTATTAAATAAATAATTTCACTTCTAATCCAATGAATATTAGTCTTTAATTTTCAATATTATTTAAATATATATAGAATGCTGACTATTTTTGGCGACCATATTTAACCATTCAAGCTGATATTGGCACAACTCTAAAAGATTTATCATGTGAATTACAGAATGTCACTAATGAACTACACTGTTTCCACTGAATGGTTAGGTATTTTAAATGCACGTGAAGTAAAACAGAATGAAGAAATTAAGTAGGTTATTTTTTTTTAATGATTTTGGTTTTTTGCAAAAATGCACAGTTCATTTCCTTATTTTGGTGTTTTTAGTAATACATAGTTGTTTTGTTTTATATAGTAGTTTAGTAAGATTATGTAACTTGATGAACAGGTTTAAATTAGTGTTGTTAGTTAGCTATGAAACATTATCTGGTTAATAATGTAAGTTAACAGTATTTCTCGATTATCCTTAATCTTGTTAGATTAATAAGGTTTCAAACTATGTCACTTTTCTTCTGATAACTTAATACTTATTTTGATGGCAATATGATGAACTTGTATAACTGATAGTTGATCAATTTGCAATACCAACCTACATCATAATTCTTACTCCAGTTCTTAATTTGATGATCTAATTCTGTTGGTCATATGACAATGTGTCCACTAGTCTCAATGACTTGTCGTAATGTATCCAGTAACCTACGAATATCTTCTACTCTCACTGGCCATGTTTCACAGCCATAAAGTCGGACAGAGCGAACTACTACACAGTACACAGTACACTCGTCCTTTAGTCAGCAAACGGATATCTCGCCTACGCCATAAGTGACGCAGGTTGGCAAAAGCCAATCGAGCCTTCTGTATCCGTGCTGGGATTTCGTCAGTCACCAGGCCATCGGCACTGATGAGACTCCCAAGATAAGTGAAGCGGTCTACACGTTCGACTACTTCACTCCCTATCACTAGTTCAGGTGCCGATGAAACCCAATCTTGAAGCAACATTTTGCATTTCGACTGGGAAAACCGCATTCCGAACATGCTTGCATTGTTGCTTAGGGTAGTCAGAAGACTCTGCATTTTGTCAGCGTCTTCACCAAGTAGGACTATGTTCTAAGTCAATAAGCGAGCCACCTGGTAAAAGGTCTACTCCTGAAAATTCAGACGAGGATAAGGTTATTTCTAGGAGCATGTCTATGATAAAATTAAACAAGAATGGAGAAAGTGGACATCCCTGACGGACACCACTTGAAGTGAAGAATTCCGGTGACAGTTCGCCATAAGCTCTCACTCGAACCAGTGATGTTCGAGTAGAGAGCTTGTATGAGGTTAATGTACTTCTTTGGTACACCTTTCAATGACAGACACTGCCAGAGAACCTCACGATCCACAGAAGTCAAATGCCGCCTTAAGGTCTAGGAAAACAACTATTGTAGGACGCCTACAATGTGTGTCTATGTTTCGAGGACCTATCGTAGTGTGAAGATGTGGTCTATACAAACCACGGCCACGGTTCGAAAAACCAGCACGCTGGTTTTCGTTCTAGGCTGGGGGCCCCCCAGCCGCTCAAAAGCTGTCGTTAAGCGTTCAGAAGTATTATTGACGGCCAATATTTTAGGATACTCATATTAGGTAGACTTATTCCCCGCTGTGATTGTCACAAAGTAGGGACTTCATGTCCTTCGTCTTATAGATGGTACAATGCAAGTGCATATGAAGGAACAGTCGGAAGGGACGTTACTAGGGGTGTAGGAAGGATCTGATTTTGACCAAATTGGTCCGCGTTGCTGCTACGGGGATGAGGGCGAAATGTTGTCACTTCCCGGCTGCCCACCACCGTGGATGGTGTAGGAAGAAAAAAGAAACTTTATTTTATTCAAGTAGAATAGTTTTTAACAATATTGTTTTCGACATTCTACTTTCAATATAATTTATTGATAATCTCATTATTCATCATTATCTATTTACATTAACCGATACTTGTTAGAATACGTACAGAGTTTTACGTTTTTTTCCTTTCTCTTGTTTGTAGGACTGTAAGTTGTCACAAGTCCTTAGAAGGTGGCGCGTCGAGCATCGTAATCCACCTTTTTCCCATGTCTCTGTGAATATTTAGTAGCAGTGTATAGGTCTACCAACTCGATTTCATCTGGAGAGATAGTTATTATTAATCGCTGAATGGTTAGGTGATTTCTGTAGGATCAGGCAGATTGATCAACCATATAGTTAGTACGTCGCCAAAGACAACCGTTATCCTATGGTTAGGATCCTGGGACCATTTGGAATCGTTCGAGTGTATTGGTGGAGGATTTGACTTAGGTGCCGTAAACATTGTATGCCGCCACAAATGTAAGTTTCTACAAAACTATATTTAGTATTTTTTTTAATATTCAGGGTATGAAGCACAATTATGAGTAATTTGGGTTAGCTCCGCACGCCCAAAGGTACATAATGACAGTAGTCGTATTATCCCATATTCAAACACCATATAATTTATGTGAGTTCTGTAGTGTGTAAAGACTCCGCTTCAGAATGCATATGTAAATTAGGTAATAAGTAAAAACTGTAACCTCAACGGTAAGGACAAGTGACTGTATCAAATACTGATGAGACCTCAGCGTGTCGATCCAGGAGTAAAACAAGAAACAAGAAATTGCAGTTCTGGAGAACGGATTGGTCGGCTATAGCAGAAAAATGCTCTAAGGATGGAAGTTATCTTGATGCTAACAGTAATCAGTTTAACATAAGAGGGACCTTAGAATGGGTATTAGATAGAGGCGGAGTCTCACAAAAATGCTTGATGATTCAATCAGTGGAATGAAATTCCAGAGGGAGTTTTCGAAATTGTTCGATGCTGCGCTACAAGGGTTTAAAATATTTCACGTACATGTGTCGAGGTGTTATTATACTGTTTTAATGAAATTTACTGTGTACGAGCTGCAAAATTGTGCGCTATCTGTCTCTGCGTTAATAAATATAGTTAGAAATAGGATCGTTCGTCCTATAAGTGTAAAGTTATGTTTCGTGACGTTGTTTGCCCACACCTGCTATGACACTATACGAACACCACAGACTATAAACATATGTTACCATGCTGTGTATTCTCGGAATTCAGCCCACCGACAGCAAAAGAGAGAAAGTTATTATAGTTCACCACAGATGGTAGTCACCACAATAACAACATAGTCTACCTTACAATGCAAGAGCACCTGCCTCAACAAAATACCTCCAATCACATGCGCATATGAGTAGAGAATGACAAAGACACTAAGAAGAACGCAGACTTCGTGCAATCTCCCTGGTATCGCTTTTCCTCGTCTCTAAACGTTAGTGGTATGTGAATGATAGATTCACGTGCCTCACTGTGTCTCATAATCTCCAGTCTCACCCATTGAGAGACTCTCTTGTACATCACATAAAAAAGAGGAATTTATGGTGAACTGAAAATAACGCTGTTTGTTGAGGGAATTCAGAAACAGCATGGTAAATGTTAGTTAGTATAGAGGGGTGGAAACACGTCACGAACTAATTTTACACTATAGAAACAGATCCATACTAGATTATTAACGCAGAATAGCGCACAATTTGAGCTCGTACACGTAAATTCATTAAAACAGTATAAAAACTGACAAATGTAAGTAATATTTAAACCTGTATCGCAGCATCGAACAATTTCGAAAACTCCTCTGGAATTTCATTCCACTATTGAACATCGATTTTTGTGAGACTCGCCTCTATCAATACCCTTCTAGGTCCACTCTTATTGTTAACTGATACTGTTAGCTCAAGAAACTCCATCAAGCATTTTCGCTATATCCTACCAATCGTTCTAAACGCAATTTCTGTTCTGCTGGATAGACAGCTGAGGTATCTCATATTTATACATAACTGCCTACGTTTGAGTACAGTTTTACTTATTACCATTAATATCTTCTAAGCGGAGTCTTACAACTCAGAACTCCAAAATATGTGTTTTGAATATGGGAATCGGATCTGTCATATGTACAAACCCAAATTACTCTAATTTGCTCTACCTGAATTAAAAAAAATACTAAATAGTTTGTAGAAACTTACATTTGGGCGGCATAATTTAGCACCTAATGCAAATCCTCCACCAATACCTAACGTTCCAAATGGTCCAGGATCTAACCATGATAACGGTTGTCTTGGACGTACAATATATGCTGCTGATCCTACAAAATCACCACCATCAGCGATAATAATACTATCTTCAGATGAATCAGTTGGTAGACCATAATGCTCTAATTTCCAGAGAATGGAAAGTGGATTACTATGCTCACCACCTTCTAACTGACAACTCAGTCTAAAAAGAGAAAGGAAAACGTTAACTCTGTAATTATCAAGTAGGTTAAGTAATATATGATGAATAATGAGATTATCAATAATTATATTGAAAAGTAGAATGTAGAAACAAAATTTTAAAACTATTCACTGTAAAAAATAAAGTTCTTTTTCTTCTACCATCCACGGTGTGGGCAGCCGGGAAGTGACAACCGCCCTCATACCCGTAACAGCACGCGGGACCAAATTGGTCAAAATCAAATCCTTCCTACACCCCCTAGTAATCCCTTCCGACTGGTCTCAATCACTGATTGTACCAATCTATAAGAAAGGACAGAAGTCTACTTGTGACAATCACAGGGGAATAAGTCTAACTAATATAGTATCTAAAATATTGGCCTCAATAATACTTCGACGCTTAACGAAAGCTTTTGAAGAGCAGACTAGAGAAAACCAGGCTGGTTTTCGACCTGGACGTGGTTGTATAGACCACATCTTCACACTACGATAGGTCCTCGAACATAGACACACATTTAGGCGTCCTACAATAGTTGTTTTCCTAGACCTTAGGGCGGCATTTGACTCTGTGGATCGTGAGGTTCTGTGGCAGTGTCTGTCATTGAAAGGTGTACCAAAGAAGTACATTAACCTTATACGAGCGCTCTACTCGAACACCACTGTTCGAGTGAGAGCTTATGGGGAACTGTCATCGGAATTCATTACTTCAAGCGGTGTCCGTCATGGCTGTCCACTTTCTCCATTCGTGTTTAATTTTATCATAGACATGCTCCTAGAAATAACCTTGTCGTCGTCTGAATTTTCAGGAGTAGACCTTTTACCAGGTGGCTCGCTTATTGACTTAGAACATAGTCCTACTTGGTGAAGACGCTGACAAAATGCAGAGTCTTCTGACTACCATAAGCAACAATGCAAGCATGTTCGGAATGCGGTTTTCCCAGTCGAAATGCAAAATGTTGCTTCAAGATTGGGTTTCATCGGCACCTGAACTAGTGATAGGGAGTGAAGTAGTCGAACGTGTAGACCGCTTCACTTATCTTGGGAGTCTCATCAGTGCCGATGGCCTGGTGACTGACGAAATCCCAGCACGGATACAGAAGGCTCGATTGGCTTTTGCCAACCTGCGTCACTTATGGCGTAGGCGAGATATCCGTTTGCTGACTAAAGGACGAGTGTACTGTGTACTGTGTAGTAGTTCGCTCTGTCCGACTTTATGGCTGTGAAACATGGCCAGTGAGAGTAGAAGATATTCGTAGGTTACTGGATACATTACGACAAGTCATTGAGACTAGTGGACACATTGTCATATGACCAACAGAATTAGATCATCAAATTAAGAACTGGAGTAAGAATTATGATGTAGGTTGATACTGCAAAGTGATCAACTTTGCCATCAAAATAAGTATCAATTTATCAGAAGAAAAGTGACCTAGTTTGAAACCTTATTAATCTAACAAGATTAAGGATAATCGAGAAATACTGTTAACTTACATTATTAACCAGATAATGTTTCATAGCTAACTAACAACACTAATTTAAACCTGTTCATCAAGTTACATAATCTTACTAAACTACTATATAAAACAAAACAACTATGTATTACTAAAAACACCAAAATAAGGAAATGAACTGTGCATTTTTGCAAAAAACCAAAATCATTAAAAAAAAATAACCTACTTAATTTCTTCATTCTGTTTTACTTCACGTGCATTTAAAATACCTAACCATTCCGTGGAACAGTGTAGTTCATTAGTGACATTCTGTAATTCACATGATAAATCTTTTAGAGTTGTGCCAATATCAGCTTGAATGGTTAAATATGGTCGCCAAAAATAGTCAGCATTCTATATATATTTAAATAATATTGAAAAATAAAGACCAATATTCATTGGATTAAAAGTGAAATTATTTATTTATATAGATAAACACTTATTACAAACATTGTTAAGTTATTAGCATTGAAATGTGAAGTAGAGGAGCATTCAGTAGTCAATGTATTTGACTTTACACCATCAAGTTGTAAGTTCGAACACCATCTGTCTAATAATTTAGTTTAGGCAATTGAATAGCATTACTAGACCTTGGCTTGAAGCCAAACACACAAGTTTCTATCTAGCAAGTGAGTATTCATTGGAATATGAACTAACAGCTTATATAAACTAATTAGCCACACTTAACCACTCACTGTCTTACAAAACTTTGAACGTAATTGTGATTCAGAGGTGTAGAAATTCCTGAGTTCATGAACAAACAATAAGACAGTTAGTACTAAAAATTTTATAAAACAGTAAGTTTCATTGCTTAAAAATATTGGAAAGAATTTTTGCGAGTTTAAATGTAAATTGAAAAGATCTATACACTTTTAACAGATGTTTATTTGAAGTTGGAAGCCTTCAAGGTCAGTTGTGCCTGTATACAAGATATTTTTAAACTAATAAAAGTTACATATTAGTATTTTTCTACGGCATTCACTGGTCCGTTGTTCTGTAAAAAAAAGTAGTGATCAGGGAGAATAATACAGTAACCACTTTAGTGTATTTTCTCATAGTTTTTAACCTGATAACAGACAATGATAGCTATATAACGAAGATCTAAAGTACAATTTGTTTTATAGGCGACCGAAAATACTCATCAGTGGAATCCAGACTGCAAGATACGATTTACTTCACAATATTCAACTAGATGTACCTTCATATGTGTGTTGGTGTTCAGACTGAAGTTCGAACTTAATGAGCATTTGTTTCATACGCTCCACATATTATTCATTATGAGCCAGTGGGTTCACATATAACCAAACGAATGTGTTAGATGGGTATGACATTTACGTCATTATTAGTATACTGGTTTAAATTATCTCATTGTTCAACATTTGTGATTGAATTTTGACCGGTATTTTTGTTGAATAACTCAAGCTTATTATTAATTAATTGAAAAATCAGAAAATAACCAACATAGTAAATCCTAAAACAGACTGCAACCATTGCTGTCATAATATTCAAAAAAAAAATCATTTTCTCGTCAAAAAAAACGATCAAATATAAGAACAATAAATTTACAAGATATAAATTTTTCTTATTCCGATTAATCACAACAATTTTGGCTTTTCGATTCAGCACACGACCATAATCTAGTCGAAAATCACAAATGGCACCTTTGAAATAAAAAAATAACAAGAAAAGGCAAACGATGAGTAAATAAAAAAAAAGAAATCACTTACCATTGGGATAGATGTTTAGATAATTAACTGAACAAATGTACCAGTTTTTGCAATCAGCGTTAATACTCATTTTTGTAGGAAGGCTGGTGAGGCCATTACCCTGATTGTTCAAATCCATTAGAAACAAAGTGGAACTTCGAGGGTTATTCTATTTGCTTACCTTACTTACGCCTGTTACCCTTAATGAAGCATGGGCCTCCGACCTGAGAATAATTTTTTCTGGTTAGCGTTTTTTTAGAGAGTTGGATTTCTATAGGATGGGGTCGCTAACCACATATACCCAACCCACAGTAAGCCCAGAAAGGCTCCAGGTGGGGTTGTTATTCTATAATGGACTATTTATATATACCTTTTGATATCAAAAGTACATGAATCTCATAAGAACAATTCAAAAGAACCACTGCAAATAAATTTAATTCACTACTGTATTCTAATGTGTTCGATTCCGATACAATATACTTCCTGTAGAATTGTTCAACTACCGACTGAGGAACTACTAGAGAAATTTAATTCATAGACCAATTAAATAGTTAGACAAATCATCGCTATACAAAAATTAATTGCTCTAGCCGCGTAAAGGATATGTAAGCCGAGCCTCTTACTAGGAGCATCGTCATATTTCCCAATTACAGTTTATCATCACTTGCTATTGGAATTTGAGATAGTAGTATATGGGTACAGGCACGTGATATACATACAATCACCCTGTCTACCAGTCAGAAGGCAATCGTAAACGATCCTATCTTTCTTGTCCCAAGGAAATTAATTTAATGATAAAACACGAAGCAGTCGAAATGGACAATAAATACACAGCAATTACAACCCAATTTCATAAATGATGCCAAATAACGAATACAAAAAGTATACATTAATAAGGACAATAATTAACAATGTTAACATTTAGGACACTAAGGTGAAACAGAATAAATACCTGCTAGAATAATTAGATCAGCTTCACGAAGTGCAGTACGACGGCAATGACGAAATGCAAGTTGGTGGTCTCGACCAAGAAGACCACGAGCCATACCTGACATGTAAGTCGGTATCCCAACGGTCTAAAAAAGAAATTAATGTATGAAACATAGTGCTGATGATGGATTTGTAAGTGAAAATGACACGAAATGCCAGTGATAACGTAAATTGACTTTGATAAGAGAAAAACGTACAAAAGTTCATATAATTATATGAAGTTAGTAACAAAGTGCATCAATCATATATAAGAGAAGATAGAATGTCGTTCAGTGTAAATATAGCTATGAAAAACATAGTTGTTTGTATTTGAAAGGGCTTGAACGACTCCTAAGATAAGTGGGGTAGTTAACACGCTCAACTACACTCTCTATCACGAGTTCAGGTGCCGATGTAAGTCATTCCTAGAGAAACAATTTACATTTCGAGGGGGAGAATCACATCCCGAGCATGCTTGCATTGTTGCTTAAGTTGGTCGGAAGACTTTGCATTTTGTCAGCGTATTCACAAAAGAGAACTACATTATATGCATACTTCAAGTCAATAAGTGAATCTCCTGATCGAAGGTCAACTCCTGATGATTCGGATGGTGAACGTGTCGTCTCTAAAAGCATGTCAATGACAAGGTTAAATAAGAATGAAGAGGGTGGACAACCACGAGGAACACCACTGTAAGTAATCAGTTTCGAAGACAGTTCGCCATAATCTCTGACTCGACCACTAGTGTTCGAGTAGAGAGGCTGCATAAGGTTAATGTACTTCTTAGGTATACTTTTCAATGATAGATATGGCCACAGAACCTCACGATCACCAGAGTCAAACGCCGCCCTAAAGTTGAGGATGTAAAGATGTTTGACTTAATGCTTAAAGTTGGTATTTGCCAGAAACAGGAAGTTATCTGTGCAGAACAACAACTGATGGTTACCATCATCTGTTCGAATAGCCGCGACGCCATAAGATCCACATAGGCCTCCGTCAGTTTCTTTTAATCTATTTATTCCAGCATCAATGCTACCAACCAGTATTACTACATCAGAGCGTCTAGCTTTGTGAAGGTTGGGAATCTTTGCGTAAAATTATTCTTTTACCTCAGCAGTGTAAGCGTAGGCAGAGACAACGAAGGGGCAAGAATTCGCGTCTATGTTTTCTTTGAGTTTTTCCTGATCTCTTTTAGTTAGACAGTGCACAAAAGACTACTGACTGAGATCCAGTCCAAGAAAGCTAGTTCTGCTTTAGAAATCAATGCTATATCTACACCAGAGAGGCCATAAAAAGTAGCAGTGAGCCTTCAGATACACGAAGCGTAGATTGCATGATGAAGCCTAATGAATGACTCTACTCGGATCCTGCATGTGCGTTTCGGAGATGCTGCACACGTGGATGGCACGAAAGTCTAAAGTCCTAGTGAAGGAAACTTGTTGTATTTGGCATAAGATTCGGACATTAAAAGATCCAATATGCAGTTTAAAACGGGGTTTCAGGTGACCGAGAATTGTTAAGGCTAGCGGCGCAAGGTCATAAGGTATACGAGAAAGGTTGGTTATGGAGACAAGACAGTTATCAAGAGGTGTAGAAAGGATTTGATTAAGACCAAGTTGATCTCGTGTAGTATTAGGGACGGACGATATCACCCAGCTATCCAAACAGGGAAATGGTATTTCTTGAGGGATGTGAAAAGGAAAATGCGTTAGTGTTGGTCTTACCGACCTGTGGGAGTGACTGCAGAGCCCAAAGAACAAGCGCTTGAGGCCGACCGTGCTCAGCCTTCTTAAGGGAAGTTTTGGAATTGTTATATTTTCGTGACCAACTTTCTTGATGCCTAATTTTTTCTATTACCACTGATACTATTACTACCTCTGATACTTTGGATTTCAACCTCACAGTTTTATCTCCCTGTGCTGACGTGGTATGGTAACTTGAACTGATCTACGTACGTACCAGGTTATACGTTGCGACTGACTGACTAACTCTTTCACTGATCCGCTCAGTCGAATAAATAAACCAAACTTAATCCAAGACACGGTGGAAAAATTTGAGTCAAATGACTGACTGATTAACTGTGCAAACAATGATGAAGCGGGTTTAGTCAGTCAGTCAGCTACAACATAGAACTTCGTACCAGTTCAAGTTGCCATACAACATTAGCACAGAGATCGAATTGTCAATTCTAATTCCATCGTAGTACAAAAAGGTGTTGGGAGGATTTGGTTATTACTAATTTGATCTCGTTTGCTGATACGGGTATGAGGGCGGATGTCACTTTCACGTTGCCCACACCGCGAAAGAAGCGGTTTTAGGTGATACAGGAAGAAAACCATAACTGAGAAGATAAGAAATGTGTCGACTACCTAGACCAGATTGCATGAAGTAGAATTAAAAATCCTACTAGCTACTACCTACTAATCATCAAAAAGTCACTAGTCCAAAAAAAATACAATTTACTAATTTTTTGCTGAAGATCGATCGATGTTAAGAGATACTTAAATGCCATAGTATTCCAACTCTAAACTAATGATTGATGCTGCCAAAGAGACTACACTAAAGAGACATAAACGCATCAAACATCTGAGTGGACCATGTTCATGTCATAGTATGTGTTTCTTGAATGTTACCGGACATTGCACCTACCATAGTTAAAGTTCCAAACATAAGAGGAACATTTAGTTGACGGAAAACATGGTCTTGGGTTCGAATCCTGTGAGTAGTAGGAGTTATGGATGCGCACTGCAAATGAGTTCCATACCAGGAAGAAACGGTCGTTCGGTGCTTCCAGGTTACTAATGGTGGTCTAACAACGATTTCTTCACGATTTCAAAATGTGAAAACAATACATATACCAGCCATTAAAATACAAGATGATACACAACCTTAGGAATCTGCTGTTAGCTGAGATACACAAATGCCAGTTACAATAAGAATATTGCAGCATTTGATATAGGCTGTTTATAATTCGTACATAAAATAAACAAATACTGGATTTAGATAAATTTACTTGAACATGAACGGCTGTCTCTTTGGCAGGAACTGGAGGTAAAACAGCTTGACTACCAATAAGTAGAATTGGTTTTTCAGCGAGTTTTATTAGTTGAGCTAATTTCTTCACTTGTCTTTTAGATGGAAGCGGAATTTTCGGTGGTTTGACAACTATTCCATCTGGACAATTCGTTTTGGATGGATGCGATTTCGATGAGAAACCATTAGCGAATAAATCGAAAAGATAGAAACGTAGATACCTATGAAAGAAATGAAATAGTACAAAAATGAGTGTGACAGACAAAAATGTAAGCAGTTTAACAATAGAAAATAGGGGATTTATTCTTAGGCAACTTAATTCACATGCTTCACTTACTGACGCGTTACTCTCAATGAAGCACAGGCCGCCAACCAGCATTCACCAACCAACTCTGTTCGCTCACCTTTCCAGTTCTAAGCAATAGCTATTCATTCGCTTCAGGTCTGTCTCTAAGTATCAGCGCATTGTGTTCTTTGGTCTATCTCTTTTCCTTTGGACATGAGGATTCAAAGTTAGGATTGGCCTTGTGATGCAGTTCGGTGACTAATGAGTGTCCTATCCATCTCTTCATTGAGTCGATCAGAAAAGACCTGGAACTTGGTGCTGAGAGCTATTATGAGTACAGTGAGTTTGCCAGTATCCCAAGGAAATACTGTGTCAAACCTTTTTGATGTTGTTCGCTCAGCTATTCAGCGCTTCGCTAGTTTCAGTTTCATCATGGCCACCACCAGGTAGTGATCGGAAGCTGTCAGCTCCTCTCTTGATTCTCACGTGTTTCACAGTCCTTCAGAATTTATTATTCAGTCAGTCAGTCAGCTGCAACATAGAACGTGTTACAAACGTACATCGAAGATACCTATGATCGAATACTTGTACCTACAAATAATCCTTTATTCTAGAGTGGCCATGTTTCATACCCATAGAGTAGGACGGAGCGAACTGCTGCGCATAAACCCGTCCTTTGGTTAAGCAGATGGATGTCTCGCCTACACCAGTTGGCGAGAGCCAGTCGAGTCTTCTGCACCCATTTTGAGATTCTGTCACATACCAGGCCATCAACACTGATGAGACTCCCAAGATAAGTGAAGTGGTCAACATACTCAGGTACTTTGCTCTATATCACGAACCCAAGTGCCGACGTAAGCCAATCTAGAGCAACACTTTACATTTCAAGGGGGGGGGGTAATCACATCCCGAGCAAGCTTGCATTGTTGCTTAAGGTGGTCAGAAGACTGTATTTTGTCAGCGTGTTCATCAAAGAGAACTATATTATATGCATACTTCAAATCAATAAGTGAATCTCCTGATCGAAGGTCAACTCCTGATGAGTCGGATGGTGAAAGTGTCGCCTCTAAAAGGATGTCAATGACAAGTAAAAATAAGGAAAGTGGGCAACTCTGATGAACATTACTCAAAGTGAAAGGGCAACATCGTCGCAGGTGCTGGTTGACCGAGGTAAACAACTTACTGCTGTCACACCCCTTCACAGTCAATAATATGACTTTGCCCTCAGACGTTAAGCTGCAGCTTTTAGTCTAATAGTTCTACAAGCGACCTGGGTGACATGGAAGGACCTAAAAGAATAGTTTGGCTGTGACCAAGATGAGCAAGCCCGACCACCATGTCAGTAACTTTTTATTGATGCGAATGAGATTAATTTAATTCTCTGTAAGGCGATTCAGTATAACATGTGTAGTTTCGCCTATGCGTATGTGTGGCATTATGGAGGCGCATAGATTCGCGAATCTCTCACCGTTTTCGTTCCTTTCATATCCAGTGTTGTTCATTCCAACAATGGTGTTTATGTCTCCCATCAGAATGATCAAATCTTTTGTTGGGTATTTTACGATGATTGACTGCAGCCTCCCATAGAATCGACCTTTGAATTGACAGGGAAGACTTTAAATGATTTGAATTATTTGTTCTGGCTAATGCTCTTTTTAGCCAGAACGTTTTCTAAGGGATACGGTTGTTAATCCTACGCCTAACCCTCCTGGCCTTATCTGTGCTGGGATCGGCAGTAACCCTAGAAAAGCTTCAGACCGAACATTTTCATAATTTAATGAGTGTTTATCACACTTTTATTTTATGCTATTTTTGCTCATTTATAATTATAAGCAAACAAATCTTACTTATCAAAAGATGATGAAGTTTTTAGTAAACTCAAAATAATCCTTCAGTAACTATGAATATACGGATTAGCCTTATAAGAAACTATTTTGATTTTGTTAAAATCTCTAAACTAGACGATTTAGTTGCAAAGCTTTCATTAATTTTCTAGACAACATTAGCGGTTAATTCACGTAGAAGTGAAACTTTATGCTGCCTAGAATAACAATGAAGGCTTCGTAGATAAAAAGAAATTAGTTTAGAGAGTTTAAAATAAACACCAAAAAAGTATACATCTCAACCGAAAACGTTTCTTATCAATTCGTAGAAAAATATCTTAGTTATAATATGTATTAAGATTTATCGATTGATTTTTCTTGCAGTTTGATGGTTTCCTAGTATAAGCATGAGTTACATGTCAGAATGATAAAACGTGGTTCGAGTTTTTTTTAATTAGAGGCTTGAGAAAGTAGAAAATAACAAAATTGATGAATATATAGTTTAATAGTTAGCAGTATGATCATATCAGCTGTTATGTATGTTTCTCATATATATGTGGAATAACGAATGAAGGATAGAAATGTATTTATTACGTGAAATATTCAATATTACCTAATGAATTTAAATATTAAGGTATATTATATGAAATTTGTCAATACGAAATCAATGGACAAATGAAATCATGACTTCAAGGTATAGATTGGATAAAAAGGCTGAGTTTTTCGCTTGTCAAACAGGCCGAATAATGTAAAAACTCTGAGTTATAGAACGCTTGAAAATGAGGATAACTTGACAACTGTTTAAGTCACAGGTTATAATATGTCAGTCAGTTACAACGTAGAACTTAGTAAGTACATACATCAGTCCAGGTTACCTTACCACATTAGCACAGAAACGCAATTGTCACTTCAAATCCAATAGTAGTGTTCCGCCCATCCATACAATCTACTAGATTGAGGGTGAATGATAGTCATCCATTTCTCAGATAGTTTCGCAAACAGATGGATTTCTAATACCGGTTTCCTTTATAAGGTGGAAAAGTTGTCTGCTGTTGCCTATTGCCGTTGTCTTTTCCATCGCTCTTGCTTTCAATACCCACCACTGTTCACGATCATTGCGTAGGCTTTTTATCAGCCTGTGCTTAAGTTAACTTTGCTCTTCATCATGGGAATCAGTTACACAGCCACCTAACTGTTTTTCTGGTTGTTCCTGAAATATATTACTTGCTTTATCATTACCAACATGATTCAGTCCACTTGTCAGTGACTTCATAGATTTCTACTATGTCTTGCTTTAGCCGCCCCTAGCTTCCTTTCAACCTATTCATACACCACAAAACATAGCTCGACGAGGCAGTCGGTGATTAGGCATACACAACACATGTCCCAACCATCTCAACCAGTGAAGTTCTACTACTTCATCTGATGAAGTACTGTGTAATAGTATGTATTCAATTTGTATACTAACTTTCAAATAGTTTTTAAACCATTTATAGACATTTTATTTTTTAGCTGTGATAATTGGTAATATCTGTGGATTAATGCTCAAAGCATTTTTCTAAATAGCTACAGAAGAGTGAGAATTATTTTGTATAGTAGTGAAAGTTAGAAAAGGAAGTTATCTTTTGTTAGTGTTTGTTTTACATTGACAAGTCACCGAGAATTATTTTAGAATGTCTTGCCATTGAAGTCCGAATTAACTGACCAAATTTTTTAATATCATTATCACTATGTTGAGAACACTTCTAGGGTAACTGGCAATCACAAGCTCGGATAGAGAGTTATGATACCACATTCAGAACGTAGAGTTCCTCTGTATGTCAAGACGAAGATGAGCATTCTCACAACCAGAGCGATAGTAAACATACGCATATGACATATTTGTGGGCCGTGCGAGATAAACAAAATCCTTTATTTTGATCTCTAGTAGATTTTTT